ACCAGGGCTATATCATTCACTGTGGAGCACATTTTAATGTACACCCCTATTTAATAGTCTTTTATTCAGAAATATTTTTAAATAATTTAGCTATGTGAGAAATGTTGACAGTATTATTATTTTAGTACAAGTTTCACTAATACAACATCTGGAAGAATCTGATCGTATATGGTCCTTTCTGTTTAGGCCAGTTCTGAGAATTTAGAATCTCGCTAAGTTTCCTTAAGAAGAGATAGGATGTAGGCTCTATTTTTAACTTATTATTCTGGAATGATCCTGTAACTTGAATAAGAGAAGAGGAACAATATAATCCTTGATCAACCATAAAACTAAACACCAGCTTAATCTTTAATATTTTCTGACACAAAAGGGCACCCAAAATATTTCCTATGTCACCAAAATTACCCAGTATTCCTATGTCACCAAAATTACCCAGTACAAGCTAAGGAGGACAAGTATGCAAAGCATTTGAAAAAGCAGCTTCCTAAAGTTTGTTAACCTGAGCAAGGCATCACATTTCAAAGCATCCAAGCTGTCGTGATTTCTGCAAAACTGCAGCAACTGCTTGGAAAACAGACCCTGAGTGTCTGCATGTGTGAGAAACGAACATCTGCTTTACTCTGTTGGCTGTCCCAGTAAGATGTATTGTTTACTTGCACATCCAGACTATCAGGGGCTTTGAAGCAGCTTTGTTGAGTTTTCTGAAAAACCCTGCTGCTTTAATGTTCCAAGCAGATGTGCTTTGCTTAAGGTTAACATACTTTGTAAAGCATGGTGGGGAAACCCTAGTTGTTTATTCATTAGGCAAATATATATATATGGTCTTGTTGTATTCGGGTCTTTTCCCGTGTAATATTGAGATTGTCTTGGCAACGTTTTGGCGACATCTCACTCGCCATCTTCAGGCTGGTGTTTTCGGCTTAAAGCGTGGTCGGAGCTGCTGTCTTTCTATAAATCTGGGGGGTGGGGGTGGAGTGCTGGCTTTATTTCAGTAAGTGGATTGATTGGTTGTGTGGTTGTATCATGATTGGT